CCAAAGGGCAAACATGGGGGCACGGGGAAAAAAAATCGTCTGCAACATTTTTTCCCCACAGTCGGAAATATATTCCGTCACTTAGAGGCCGTTTTGGTCTAACCTGTTTCTCAGTTCATGTTAAAAACCAAAGGACAATTGAACTCAATTGTATATCTTTTTACAGACTCACTGGTTTGGTGTAGATTTAAGGAAATATTACCTCCTTTTCCGACGTGAACATCCATCTCGCCCGCCATGCACCCAACACACGTTCGAGCCCTGATGACGTCACGATAGAACTTCCCAATGATATATGCAAATAAATAGACCCATTCGACTTTCACGGATGGCATAAACTGCTTACGTCACAGGGGGGGCATTTTGAATAGAAATTACGTCACAGGGGGGACATTTCGAAAGTTCCTTTCACGGATTGCATAAACTGCATACGTCACAGAACAAAATAACCTTAAATTGTTGTACGGAATGCCACCATACAAAGTTGGTGCCTGTTTTCCTGTCATTTCCGCATATATTACCGAGAAAATAGACACTTATCTACCTTTTAGTAAAAAAAAATGATCTGCCAGGGGGGACACCGCGTTCTAGAACGACGTTCTTTCGAAATGTCCCCCCTGTGACGTAAGCAGTTTATGCGATCCGTGAAAGTCGAAGGGGTCTATTGTCTGTACAGAATTAATTCCAAGGCTTCTTCTAAGACATTTCTGTCTCCTTACTTAGCACACACTTAAGTGTCTCTTATACTCTAAGACACCTGTTACAAGACAAGCCATATGACTGATCTGGTCAAGCTTCACAGTGTAAGAAGGTGTCTGAGTAAGTAAAAAAAAAACTTTTGAGAACCTTATGAGAATTTCATTCAAATATTACAGATATTGGATGAAAGAAGTTAATTTTGGATTTCTCACAGTAGAAATGACGTTTTTCTGATGCGAAACTGTGTGAAACTGATGATTTCTTTTGTAATTTCCATGTTGTTAGAGAGTTTGAAGTTACAATTTTTTTCAATTGCACCAAAACAATGTGTTTGCATATTTGCTATAATAATTATGTTTACGAAAAAGAATGGTTCAGTATTTGTGATTTGACAATACATACAGCCTTAATGATTTCTTGGTTGTCTAACATTAAGAATAACAGTTGTCAATCACACTTTGCTACAGAGTTTCTTTTTTTTCAAAGGGTTCAGCTTTGCCACAACAAAATCAAGACGAACATGCAATAATATCAACCTACCAAAATATGCACATGTACATTCAACAAAAGTGGATATATTACAACCACAATACATTACATCATATAGTATGTTTGTATTCCTTATATTCAAAAGAGTTTGCTACATTCATACATCTAGAGACTTTCAGGCAACTAGGAATTGAATATGACGATTCCACCTAGGTAGATAATTTGTAAGACTTGAACAATTTGCTACAGAAAGCAAACTGTTACATATTTAGCTTTAGGAAATGGATACATGGTGGCTTTAATATGTGGCTATTTGACAAATGCACACAGACACGTGCATGTCACAGGTACAACGTCTGTTGTTATTAGCCAATGTGTTTAGATGGGTTATACATGTAAGTCAATAACAAGGTGCACATTTTGTATTATTTCCTTGGTGTATACAGATGTGGTGCTCACAATACAACATTTGCTGAAGTATAGTATCCAAGGAACATTACCATTCCCAATAATAAAATTCAAATTGTAATTACCAAAGTCGTTAATAGCCTAGCAACAGGCCAGCTTCCAAAGCCAGCCCTGCCACAAACTCAGCAGTTGTTTCCCAACAGCTTGCATAGAAGAGTGCTAGCTTCAGGAGCCCTTTGCCGGGCTATCTGTTAGTTATATAATATCAGTTTCTAAAATCATGTTTTCACCAACACTTTCTAGAACTTGCATGTATAACATTTAGACTTATGCACAATGATATATGTTTTATCCCAATACACTATACAAAGATCATCCTATAGCGCTAAAACCAGAGTGGTATAATCTCTAACCAGAGTCAACGGTGATCTCATTTACAGCATGCTTAGTCACATTGATCAGATCGCACCAAGATTGTCTGGATCGCAAGAGTGAGATCCCGTGATCCCATGTCTAGATCACTCCTAGTTTAACGTGTACCCTCAGTCATGCTGATCACATGTACAATGCACCGTTGTTATCATCTAGAGTCTTACAAGTTGCTAGACATCTTAAGTTATTATCAAGTGTTTGCCACTACATTGTGTCTAGTATGTACAGTAATTATACTACTTTGCACTTTCAGACTCTAGATTTTTTTTCTTGAAATCACAGCACTGAGATACTTGATGGACAGAACTGGGCTAAAGTATCAGTTAACCTAAGGACATATCCAGGGTAATGTAGTCGGGAGGCTATTCTAGATCTAGACAAGCATTGGCATACTTTACAATGAGATGACATTTGCTCTGCTAGAATTCTTGTGGCAATTCTTAAATGCCTAATGGTCTTGAACTACATGATTGCACAGGTAATTTTACAACACTTTTAGCATCATTGAATGCCTAAATGCCTTAAACATTTTATGAACATTAGCTGCGTCTATTATTATGTTTTTTCTTTTGCATGAAGCACTGAACTTTGATCATAGCAAATACAGATGGGAGTTGGAGTTTTTTGTGATATTTGCAGGCAAGAATTTTCCATAACAAGTTATTAAATTTTGCTGTGTTTTACTTCAACTAACTGGACTCGCAGATACCTTTTCGATCAGGACGTACAGTGCGTTAAAAAAAGTTACCTCTGAGAAATTAGCAAAATTTTCCGTTAGGCATGCTTTTTGCTTCCCGAGAAAATTTCCAGAATGTGGTTGAATCCCCAAACAGTTCTTTTTCTTGCAAGAATTGCACAGTACGTACCTCCTTTACATCTAGCGGGGAGGTTCAGAATTTGCAACTCGTTTTGCTGACACATTTTGTGGCCAGGAATATCCAGAGAAGTTCTTTTCCTATTTTTAAAACTGCCACCACAATTTTTTCTTTTATTTCTGAGTGTATACTACGGAATTTATCAGAGCTCCCCCACCCATACAATGACGTTACCGTGCTTGACCTGATCGATTTCGCAATTGACCTTATCGAGTTTCGAGTCGACCACGAAAATGGCTTCCTCGGACGGCGAAACTAGGTAGTTCCCGAACAATCCCGTGCTGATGATCGCGCGATTGCTTTCGTCCCACGGCCAGTGTTCCACCGGCATGGCCGACTTGACGCCCTTGATCATCTTGACCTTCCCGTTAAGGAGGTTGACGAATAGGATGTCGGTTTTACTCTCGGAGCTGACGTAGAGGTTGTAGGAGTTGAAGCCGCTTGTTGGATGGAAGGCCACATCGCTAACATGTAGGTTGGTGTGCACCTGAAACAGATTATTATGATTTTGTTTTGTTATTATAATAGCATTAATTTTACTACTCAAGGCCAGTTACAACACACACTATAGTCTTATCTTCCATGTACCTTTACCAGTTAAGTGCGTGGGTGTTCTTGCACATTGCCCCTGAAGGCCTCACTAAGTTATTGTTCCAACATGATTTATTGTTTCATTTATTACTATTTGGATTATGCTTAACTATTTTATTGTCTGTTTTTTATACATGTATTTTTGAGTACGTTGACTTTGAAATGTTGTTTGCATGGGGGAGGGCCACCTACATCAGCTACATATAGCGGCGAGAAGCAGAACTCCAGTCAGAAGCTCTGAGGAAGGTGTCTGATAGATACTGGTTGTGTAAAAGAAAATCCCCATATCCTATGCTTTACCATCTAGAGAGGCCGACATTTGCTTGGGAGCAAATACAGCATATTTCAGTCCATCTCCCTCCCACGCAAAAGTGGACTATTCCAAACTTACCCCAGTGTAAAACTGGTAAAGATTCTCAAATAAATGAATTATATAGTAGCTATGTAATTGAGAACAAAGATGCAAGAACAAGCACATTGCTTTACTAATCTTATTACAGGTATGCAAATACTAACAATGATGAGATTTGATACATTTTGAAGGTCTTAGGTACATATGCTTTAAAACTATGCTTTACCATCCTGATGCAAATGTTTTTGGAAATGTACATGTCTGTAGCCGCCATGATTCAGAATCTGATGCCTGGGGGTGATTGATTGATTGATCGATTGATCAATTGACAGGGGCCTCACCTCGAATGACAGGGACAGCTGTCCGTCCTCAGAGATGCTCTGCACCACGATGAGCTCTGATTCGTTGTCGATGCTCACGATGTAGCGACCGTCAGGAGACACGTGCGGCTTCCCGTGGATCTCTGGATTCACCTGGAAGGTACCCTCACCATTTTATTTACTCCATCTTTGCAGAATATTATTCATAATGTTTAGCTTCTAGATCTATTTTTTTGTTTATGAATGATAAATACACAGACATAGTATATGTATATTATATGTATATTAATTAGGACCACCACTAAACAAAACAAATTTTACCTTTGCAGAATGTTATTCATAATGTCTAGCTTCATGTCATCATAATGTTTAGCTTCCAGATCTATTTTTTGTTTAAATACAGACGTAGTGGTGGCATAACTCAAGTTAACATACTATTAGTTACATTTAGAGCCACCACTAAACAATTGAATATAAGGCATGAGAAAGACAAAACTAAGTTACAAACTTATTCAAAATAAGGTGTACATCAAAATAAGATGTAATAAGGTGTACATCACTAATAAGATGTAGCAATGATGAACTTATACTTTAATAAACACTATTGGATATCAGTTAAATAGAGCTAGAAACGTTAAGTGCCTTCAATATATTATGTCTGTGAGTTTTAACATTGTCATCATTAAATGCAATTTAACGTTAGTCTTACCTGAATGACAGCATCAGTGAGGGCATCCAGAAGAACCTGCGAATCGTCATCCACGTTGTGCCGCTGGTCATCCCGGATACCGCTGCACTGCACCACAACGTAACCCGACACCGCGGAGAACGCAAGGGATTGTGGGTGGCAGTTCTGTTCCGTCAGGTCGATGGTCCTGACATACCTGTGGGGTCAATGTCCAAGGTTATTTTGACGACCTTCAAACAACTATCAGTTGGTATTCCCTTTGAAAAACCCTACAAACATGCTGGCATCAAATAGACAGCGGGGAATGAAATTTTCATTTTGCTGCCCTGAAATTGCATTAGATTCCTAAGAAGTTCTCTAGCGGGCACCCATTTTTCCATTAATTGCAGGAACTTTCGTTAAAAATTTCTTAACGAATCCTTCGATCTTGATAGACAAAACTGACTTAGTCTTGGGTAAAACTATAAATTAAAACATCCAACATGTCCAAAGGACCAACAACAACCAACCACTTTCAACCTCATAATTTGCCTCTCAAAATGTGGGAAATTCAAATTGCATTTTTAAACGCTTAAACCCAGGAACCATCCCCACCCCACCCTGTAGATTGTGAGCACTCTCCCCAGGTCTGATCATGAACCTGGCCTGATAGAAAAAATCTTGACCTGGCTAAAATAACCTTTATGGCATTCCAGTCTTACTTCATGGTCTCCACGTCCATCTTGTCGATCTTGGGCTGGTCTCGGTGCACGAGGTACGCGTACTTGAAGTTCTGCTCCAGCATCCTCACAGGCGGCAGGAAGAACGACTCCACGTGGTCAAAATGGTTCTCTGGTGGAGAAAGAATAAAGGCACAGATCAGATCTCACAGATAGTGGACCAATAGCAACAATGGCTTAGTAGGTAGAAAGTTTCCCTTACACATGCTGTTGGTGATGGGTTTTATCTCTGAGAGCAATTGAGTCATACAAAGAGAAAAAACGCAGCTATATATATATAATATATACACACTGGGAATATACACACTGGGACTATCAAATGGTAGTTGTGTGTGATCAAATTCCAACTCTTTCTCATTAGTGGTGTAACATTAAATTTCATCTTTGTATGACTCAATTGCTCTCAGAGATAAAACCCATCACCAACAGCATGTGTAAGGGAAACTTTCTACCTACTAAGCCATTGTTGCTATTGGTCCACTATTTCATTCCATCAATCCTAGATGAAATGGCTCTGTATACAAGTTTGAAACTCATGTAACCTACCGACAGGTTCTGTGAGGATGGTGCGGTGTGTCACCGCTGCGCTGGCCTCTCGGATGACCTCCAGGGTCTGGAAGGACCTCTCTACATACACGTATGTCGCCCCACTACACTCAAAAAACGGACCAAAAACTAATCCTAGATCACAAAGCTTCTTACCGACAGGTTCTGTGTGGATGGTGCGGTGTGTCACCGCTGCGCTGGCCTCACGGATAACCTCCAGGGTCTGGAAGGACCTCTCTACATACAGGTATGTAGAGAAAACAGGCCAAAAACTAATCCTAGTTCACAAAGCTTCTTACCGACAGGTTCAGTGTGGATGGTACGGTGTGTCACTGCTGCGCTGGCCTCTCGGATGACCTCCAGGGTCTGGAAGGACCTCTCTACATATGTCACCCTACTACACTCAAAAAACGGACCAAAAACAAGTCCTAGATCACAAAGCTTCTTACCGACAGGTTCTGTGTGGATGGTACGGTGTGTCACCGCTGCGCTGGCCTCTCGAATGACCTCCAGGGTCTGGAAGGACCTCTCTACATATGTCACCCTACTACACTCAAAAAACGTACCAAAAACAAGTCCTAGATCACAAAGCTTCTTACCGCTGCGCTGGCCTCTCTGATGACCTCCACTGGGTCTGGAAGGACCTCTCTTCATTCATATGTCACCCCACTACACTCAAAAAACGTACCAAAAACAAGTCCTAGATCACAAAGCTTCTTACCGACAGGTTCAGTGTGGATGGTACGGTGTGTCACCGCTGCGCTGGCCTCACGGATGACCTCCACTGGGTCTGGGAGGACCTCTCTACATACATATGTCACCCTACTACACTCAAAAAACGAACCAAAAGCAAATCCTAGATCACAAAGCTTCTTACCGCTGCGCTGGCCTCTCTGATGACCTCCACTGGGTCTGGAAGGACCTCTCTACATACATATGTCACCCTACTACACTCAAAAAACGGACCAAAAACAAATCCTAGATCACAAAGCTTCTTACCAACAGGTTCTGTGTGGATGGTACGGTGTGTCACCGCTGCGCTGGCCTCACGGATGACCTCCAGGGTCTGGAAGGACCTCTCTTCATTCATATGTCGCCCCACTACACTCAAAAAACGGACCAAAAACAAATCCTAGATCACAAAGCTTCTTACCAACAGGTTCCGTATGGATGGTACGGTGTGTCACCGCTGCGCTGGCCTCACGAATGACCTCCAGGGTCTGGAAGGACCTCTCCATGTCACCCCAGTTCAGCACCCACACCTGGTCCAGCTCCTCCATGTACTGCAGGTCCACAGGTAAGGGGTCTGTCTGGATCACCTGTACAGGTAAGCACACACCTGGTTACTATAGAAACAAGCACCTGGTTATTATAGAAACAACAGGTAAGGGATCTGTCTGGATCACCTGCACAGGTAAGCACCTGGTTACTATGGAAACACAGGTAAGGGGTCTGTCTGGATCACCTGCACAGGTAAACACACCTGGTTACTATGGAAACAACAGGTAAGGGGTCTGGCTATATTACACTTCTTACACCTAGCCTTTGAACTTTTGACTTTAAACATTGTTCAAAGCTATCTACTGATGATGACCCAACTGTACTTGGTGACAACGAGTTCCACTCTGCGATAGTTCTAGGTAAAATGAGTTTTTTAAACCTCAATTCTTGGTTGATAACTCTGGTACTTGAAGACATGACTATTTCTTGTTCTTTTCTGAGCTGGTATTAGGTACTTAGTAGTTGGTATGTCCACCAGTTTATCCACAAGTTATTTTGTACATCATGCACAGTCTGGACATTTTTCCTCTGTCTTCCAGTGACCCTGTTTCTTTTCATTTCCGGTACTAACACTTAGCACCCCTTTCATAGTTGTTCATACAGAATCTTGCAGCTTGATTCTGTACCCTTTCCAGTTTATTAAGTCCTCACCTGTACCACTTGTTGCGTGCGAGTCTCCAGCACCAGCACTCTGTTCTCCTGAGGCTGGCTCACGTAGATGTAGGTGTCCAGAACATTCACCGCTGACCCCCAACTGCACACCTGGTTACCTGGAACACACACACACACCTGTTAGTGTCACCTGTGTGACAGGTGCATACAAGTGTCCAGAATGCTGGTTTATAATTCAAAACACTAGGGAGACAAAACCCACACCACTTATTCCTGACAGGACAAGCTATCTGTCACCAAGAAGTCAAGACCATAGCATGTTCAGGACAAAAGATACAAAAACAGGAGGTTCTGCTGCAGTACCAAGGTCAGCTACCAGGAGGCCCATATTTGACCTTGACCTTTATCTTCCTATGACCTACCAACATACCAGATATCATCACAATCCATAAAGGCGTTCTGAAGTTATGATGACTACAAATTTTGAGGATTGGAAACACACAGACACAGAAAGAGAGAGAGAGACCAAAAACAATACCTCCATTTTTCATGGAGGTAACAAACAAACAAACAAACCATCCATGTCAGGAGTGCAGACGGGCTCCTGCGTAGCGAGGATCTTGTCGGAGGCCTTGATGTAGCAGCAGACCAGCCTACAAACCTCACATGACTTCTTCCAGAGCACAAGAGCTACCTACCATCCACAATTCATGTCCAGATCCTGAGATATCAAAAGTTTTGCTGCAGTACCAAGTGAAGTCACTAGGGGGCCCAAAATCTAATCATTTTTTTTTCTAAACATTTCCAGTTTTCGGAACACCCTACCAACGCAACAAATATGAAACCAATCCATCCAGCCGTTCTGGAGTTATCTTGTCGACCAACAGAAAAACAGACAGAAAGACAGACAAACAAACAAACAAACGCACCATCCATGTCAGGAGTGCAGACAGGCTCCTGTGTTGCGAGGATCTTGTCAGAGGCCTTGATGTGTCGGACCAGCTGGCAGGTGCTGGGCTGGAAGATGTTCACTCCGTCGTCGTGGAAGACGTAGAAAACACTTTCCAGCTGCAGACCTGGGGGGGGGGCAACAAGGAAACAGTATGTGAATTAATGAATGAATGATGTATTTAAAAAGTAGTACAAAGAAAAGTTAAGAGACTCTTATTTACACAACCAAGTGTTTTATTCACAGCCAACGTTTCAGTGACTGCCTGTCACCTTCCTCGGGGCAGTTCTGACTGGTTCACATTGCACTGCAATGTGAAAAAAAAAGAGTCTCTTGACTCAGTGACTTACCAACCTGATGAAACTATTTACAGAGGAGTAGTACAAAGCAGCCATAAGCTGAATTATAAACTATATTAATAAGACACAATAACAATACACATGATGCCTTTGAAAAGAATTATCAAAAGCTCATGTATTATAGATTGAACTCCACGTAAGTCAACTTAAATCAGCACCATGTACCACCAGGGCGATATATCAGGGTTTGAAATACTTTAATTTTATTGTCTACTTACATTTTTTAGTTACAATGATGCAGGTATCATTGAAAATCACCTGCACCAAATGAAATATTAAAATCACCAGCACCAAATGAAAATTTTACCTGCACCACTCAGACTTTGAGAAAGTATGGATCATCTAGTACTATAAACTGTTCAAATGTTCTCTGACATTTAGCAAGAGGTGATACAACTACTCTCATACTACCACCAATTTCTGTCCATGTCACTGAGACTACCTTTCACATTAATTAAGCTGAGTGTTTTTTTAGAGTGTTTTTTTTTAATCCAGCTACCATTTACAGATTTAATGTGAGTTCTCAGAAAAGAGTCACAAACAACCACCAGGTAGAGATTCAGCTCAGCATTATACGATTGTATACCTCGATTCCACAGTTGTTGATCTTTCCTTGGCTGGTATAGAGTGCCTAAGATGCAAATCACGGGAAACAGAATGGATGTATTGACTGTTGAAAATTTCAATTTTCATTTGTGGCAGGCAGTGGCATGTTCTTTCCTTAAAGTTCTCACTTGTGGACCATAAACTTCTATCCTTAAAGCCTTCTGATCGAAGAATATCTTAAACAGTAGTACAAAGAACATTGAAGAAACTTTTGACAAGACTCACTGCTAAAATGTCCGCCATCTTGAACGAAGAGAGTTGAGATGTCCTCAGACGACCCCACCAGGTTCTCTGCATGACAGATGTAGGCTCCCATGTCCTCCGTCCGCACGTTACTGATGTGCAGCACGCTACCTGAGTCTGGGTACAGCACAGTTAGAAATAGTTAGTCAAGAATACTGCCCATTCTGTTTACTATTATAAGCCCTTAAATGGGCCACAGTCTGACTGGTCCTGCTATGCACACTACCCAAATCTGCGAGAAGCACAATAAAGTGAGTTAGAATCATTCCCTGACAACATGTGTATAGGGACTGTCCCCATTCTGTTTACTATTTAAGCCACTGATCCTGATTTCAGCACATTACTGATGTGCAGCACACTGCCTGAATCTGGGTACAGCACAGTTAGAAATAGTTAGAATACTGCCCATTCTGTTTACTATTATATTAGCCACAGTCAGACTGGTCCTGATATGTACTGCAGCTACGTAGATTTCCACATGTTACTGATGTGCAGCACACTACCTGAGTCTGGGTACAGCACAGTTAACAATAGTTAGAATCATTTGCACGGTCTTTATACACCTTTTGGTGTATAAAGACTGTGAGTCAGAGTGACAGATGTACATGTAGGCTCTCATGTCCTCTGTTCGCACATTACTGATGTGCAACACACTTCCTGAGTCTTGGAGGGGCAGACGCAGCACAGTTAGTTAACCAGACGATTAAAACTAATTTCCATTGACCAGAGGGTTTGTTCATTTTGTCCAGAACTACTGGTAACTGAGGATGAATATCACTTTCTGCTTGTATGTCCTACATTTGCAAATATGTCGATACATGTATATGTAATTCCCTAATACAGTAGACTATACAGCCCTACGGTGTTCGTTATAGCTGAACAGTCCAATACCAAATGACAATCCGGATGATGGAAAAAATGTAACAACTCTGAAGAGAAGGGACATCCTTCAACAGCTGGGGCAAAACATGAGCATTTTGGAGTTCATTCAGAGGCTGAATCTGTGAACCAACAAATTAAATTGGTGTGGCCTAAGTAAAAAAATTATTCTGTCTTTCGAGCCACCCACCTTGCAGTGAGACATGCGGTGACTCGCTGGGGTCGAGGTTCCCGCCGTTCTTGAGCCACTTGACGGCGGGCGCGGGAATCCCCTCGGCGTGGCACTTCAGCTCGGCCGTGCTGCCCGGGCTGTGCGCCTGTCTCCGCGGCGACACCTTTGTGGACGGCGGAACTACAAGGATACAAATTATATTACATGGAGAAATAGTAATTTGTTATCATGATCTTTTTTCCAACATGAAGTTACAAAGAGATCGAATTTTCAACGACCACTGTTGCCTTCATCAGGATAATGAATGACCAATCACTTCGCAACGTGATCTCGCAAGAGAACATGGAGAAATGTGACATGTTTGATTGTTTATTACAGGCTGGTTGGCCCATATTAACAAACACAGCTAAAAGATATCACAAAATATGTAAAGTTGGTTTTAAAAAAGATTAGGACTGCCACAAGGAGGCCCCTTACAGAGAGCAGACTAGTCAAAAATAGTATCGCTAGAACAGGCTGGAAGAAAAGACCGCTGCAGCAGACTAGCTTAATGAAACATTGTCATTTCCAGACCTTAATAGTGGAGAAACAAACAAGTATGAAGACCTTTACCCTAACTTAAGAAATACGCCTGTTGGTTTAGGACCTAACAGTTGTCTTAAGTTGAACACTGCTGTTACAGAGTCTCCTCCATTTTTGTGACAGCGATGTCTTGAATTCATTAAATTCTACACCTACAAATGACCTTGATCATATAGATGACCTTGATCATACAGATGACCTTGAAGCAAGATGACCTTGATCTTACAGATGACCTTGAAGCCAACTGACCTTGAACCTTGACCGTGTGAACCTGCACAACCTGTCCGTTGTGAAGGGCACGACAGGTGTAGTTGCCCATGTGCAGGGTGGACAGAGAAGTGATGTACAAGGTGCCGTCATCAAACACCTGCGAATTAATGGTAGGAAAATCCAATATTTAGACATCACTGTATCTTGAATAGCAAAGTTTGAATTCTTTATTCATAACCACTTGTTTAACATTAGACTCTTTCATCTTCATTAGGGTAATTATATCTAGCCATCCTGAAATTTTTTTTGTCATCTCAATTTTGTTTGACGTAACATGAAGTTGTGCACCAAAGGCACCAGGTGCCACACCAGAGGCAGGAAAATTTTGAAATCTTGAAACACTCTTTCCTGCATGTTGAGGGGCAAATGTTGCTACAGAACAGTCACTTCCTCAAGCCTGTATATGATGGACGTTTCAGGTAGCATCCTTAAGAACTCTCAAAAAAGCAGGTTTCCAAGCACCTTTTTGTTGTATCATTTAAAATATTCGTCAAAAGAATTAATTAATCTGCCAACTGATGATGACCGTGATGTGGCAGTGCAATGGCCAAGTGAGTAGAGTGCTCTGACTTGCATTTGGTATGTCGTGAGTTCGATCCCTGGCCAAGTCATATCAAAGACTTTAAAAATGGAGCATACTGCTTTCTCTGCTTTAATAAGCACTCAGCAATTGAGAAAGAGTGTGGGAGGTAACCACACACCACTAGCCCCCTGCTGTAGTGATTGCACAACTGTGTGGCCCAAGGGCAATGAAACAGCGACCATACCAATGGTTGTGGGGAGTACTTAAACTTTTAACCCACCGTTCTGGGGAAATACGAGTTTTTGAACACCTCAATTCTTGGTTGATAACTCTGATATTTGAAGGCATGGCTGTTTCTTGTTCTTTTCTGGGCTGGTATCAAATACTTAGTGGTTGGTACGTCCACCAGTTTATTAGTCATTTTGTGGTATCCCTAGTTAAATAGATATTGAAACAAAACTGACCGTGATGCCGTCCCTGCTGAGGTCGATGGTTGTGAGGTCGACGCCGTGACGCTGCCAGACCAGGATGGGCTCGGGGTCGCCGGTGATGTCACACCTCAGCGCCAGGCTGTCTCCCACCTTAGCAACCGTAACCAGGCTCTTCTTCTCGTCCGACAGGTGCACAGGAGTCACACCTGGACAGGAAAGGAAAAGGTAAGTGACCCAATCCAGAGTAAAGAGACTCTTTTTTTACACAACCAAGTCTTTTGTTCAGCCGACGTTTCGGTGACCGTCTGTCACCTTCCTCAGGGCAATTCTGACTGGTTTACACTGCACTGCATGTGTCACATCTTGGCAGGTGAATCAATCAATCATTCAATCAATCAATCAATCAATCAAACTTTATTGCACATTTAACAATTGTAACAGGTACAATCAATGGATCTGAGGTATGCCCTGGTGAAATAAATAAACTTGAAACTTGTTCTTAACTAAGAATTACTAGACACTACACTATCATCTACAGCAATGCACAGGAGTTCCATACAATAAGACACTACAATATCTATATGGATCATGAATTACATGGTAATGCATAGGTTTTATAAAACGCAAGGATTTATAATTCTGATGAAACCATAGGAAAACGAGCTCTTGTCGTAAAGCCTTTACTCCGAAAAAAGCTGACCAAAAATATTTTGATGTCATCACATTCTGGTATCATGCTTGCATTTATAAAGTAGATGTAAGACCTTCATAAAACTAACCGCAAAATTTTGTACCTGTACTAAAAGAGTAGAAAAACGAGCTAATTTGTCGTAAAAGGTCCTACTATAATTTTACAGTCACGTTCATATATATCTTTTAATAGATTCATAGGGTTGGTTGGTCATACATTCTATTGTTAGTGGAGCCAGAAGGCTTTCTTGTTGAAAATCAATTTTTTTATACCTGGCAACTTTTTGGTAGTGCATATATTTCATTTCATTTATTTCGAAGCCTTTTAGCCCTGCAGGGCTAATCTTCCAAGGCTCAAACATTAAAATTTACAGTGAACACATTTAAAAAGACATAAATACATTAAAACATCAACAATGAACACATATAACAGGTGGCAAAATGTATGAGCATTTGGGGTTAGGTCAGATCACAGATTTGCATATCAATGTGAACCAAGATGGACGCTTTCTAAACTTTTCTGGCTTTTTCATTCTTCCATCGATGCAAAATCTCCCCATTTTCTTACCATCTGACACCAAAATTGCATGTTTTCTACAGATAATTATCTCTTTTTCAGTTTGGTATAGAGATTTTGTGGACTTTTTGGCAGAAAAACGTCCACCTTCAGGTCTTTCAAAGCATGCAATGCCAGGTACATGTATTTCAAGGATACTAAGCAGTGAAATACTAAGACTGAATGCGGCTACAGGACATGTCCACACGACTGTAGATGCAGAACGCAGTGGCTGATGATGAAGCAGTGAAAGGGGTATTGGCATGCCAGCATTCTTGGCTTGTATTGTATTGTACTACACAAGCTGGATCCAGTGCTAAAACCAGAGAGTCAGGTTTAGTTTTGAACTTGAACATCACCTTTTGTAGATAAACCCTGGACTTTCAGGACTGAAGTTGATTGCACCATCAACTTCCCATCATGGAAGCGGATCCAACGAACTCTTAACATGGACACTCTCCTGCATGGCTTTTAACTGCTGACTCTGGCAACATTTCAACCAACCCAGGACTCAAGACTCAAAGATCTCCATTTGGGTAAGCATGTTTGATTTAATTTACACCTATTGTTTGTGCTTTTAGGCCAGACCAATTTAATTTCTTGGTTAACAGATTTCTTGGTTAACAGATTTTAAAAACATTGCCTATAGGCATCCTATTATGGCCCAAAATGGCACGATATAGGAGCCATGGAGTCAACACACCAGGCTGGTTCAAAATTTAAACAATGAATTTTGAACTTTTAATGATACCACTGCATTGAAAGATGGAATAACTGTAACAGCTAGGAAGAAATGGACTGTTATCAACTGTTCAGGGCAAAATATGAGCATTTTGCAGTTTATTCTGAACTTTTTTTTTTTTTGCAAATCAGAAAAAATGAAGCGGGCAAATCCCAAGAAATTAAGTTGGTGTGGCCTTATTTAAACTTGATAATTACCCCATTCGTCCATTTAGGCCACTTTTCATAGAGGTCGAGTACAAGTTGGGAGGAGTGTCAAGGGGTCAAACAAATAGTAATCACTATCCACACTCAAGGCAAGGAAAGCCACAGGTCTGGATAGTATCGACAGTTAATCAGGAAAAACTAGCAAATCAAATTGGTGCAGCCCAATGACATCATGCTATCTATGTAGCCCTGAGCATCCAGTGACCTTCACATGGAAGGTCACTGCTAAATCAGCAGCAGGTGCTTTTCCTGTTACCATGGCAACGGGCATCACCTGACTCGTAATTGCTTGAATAGAACATTACTAGGCCGCAGCATTTTATTTTCTTGCTTGGCCCCTGGAAATTTCAAACGAATGAAGATCTAGCAACCATTTTGGTGTGATATAGCTACACATGTAGCTGCCGCCACGCCGCGTGCCTGCAAAGCTGGTGTGTTACACCGAAGGGCGGTTATACCTGCTATACTGATACAGATACAGAACCACAAGACAAGATGAAAACAGCAGGCTGGAGCATAATTAGAATGACTGTATTTTCACTCATCAACCTGACAAACAAGCTGACCTTCCACTTTTCAGCACCTCACACAACGCAGTGTTGCTGCAGTATTATAGGGTTATGGCCAGACTGGGTGTCTGACAATAATACATAATCATTCAGACAACAGACAGGGAAAGTTGTTGAGCCAAACAAGCTGACCTTAATGTTACTTTTCTGCACCTCACACAACGCAGTGTTGCAGTATTACAGGGTTATGGCCAGACTGGGTGTCCTTGTTCATCCATAATTTATGCCTGTTGAAGTCATTCTGCCCCGGAGGGTTGTGTGAGTGTCAGCACGATACGTCACACTCGTGTTTACGGCACACAAACTCCATTTTATGGACAACATATCCTCTGGGGATTCTAAATCTGATACAAAAATGTGGTGAGTTCGGAGTTTTTCTTGTACAATTATATATTAAGGCAACAACAATTTGACTTCTTGGTGCTTGAATTCGCCCTTATTTCTGATTTGAAAAATATAAACCTCCGTAATTATGCATGAACTTTAAATGATGATTCATGAATTATTCTAAAGATTTTTACCTGTACCTTTAAGAACTTACGTAGTGCAACAAGAATGGTGAGGCCACCAGTCTAGAATGAAAGCCTAGACAGAGATAAAACTTTACACAAAAAGCGTGGGTAGGCTAGTCCGGATCCATTATGTACTACTTATATCCTTCTATATTCTTCCATAAGGACATTACGAGTAATGAATCACGTTTATGATATTGTTTTTGGTGTATATATTGTCGTATTTCCATGTATATATGTGTCGTACCCAGGGCCACTCTGTAAAGCAGTGCTATGTCACTGAGTAGTGCCACCCTGGTAAAAGAATACAGAAATAATAATAAAAATAATAATAATAAAAAACAGGGTCCATAAGGGTCCAAAACAGATGTTCTTAACTGCATCCTATTCCTCCATTCATATTTTATATAATCCTTTATTCTTTACGCTCATAGTAATCCGATGATGTGAGAGTGATTCACTCCATAATGAGTGCTAAATTCCCCCGAAGTCACACACACAGTGGTGATATCTGTGGTTGTATTAGCTGGACCGTGCCTGTGTGGGTGATTCTAATGACAGGCTTGTTTTATGTACCATCTGGAATGGCACATTCTGGTAGTAAATATGATATAGAGTGGGGAAAAGCACTCTTTCAATGCAATCTGTAATATTTTCAACCACATTTTATCATTAGACCTTTATCCACTAGATATACAAGTCATGTTTTCTTATGTAAAAGTCGGGTTGGTAATTTTAATGCGCCGGTTAAGGCAGATGAGAAGTGGGCAAACTGTTAGCAGGTACATGTAAAACGTTTTACATGTATGTGAAACGTTTTAAACACTTTTTGTAGTTTTATCTTTTTCCGAGTCAGTATAAACTTCTGACTTCTTTTGATTTAATTCTATTATAATTTCTGTAGGTAATTTTTATGGCATAAAACTATGATCATTGTACATCATTCCTTTTGGTTTTGTTTTCTATCATTGTCAACAACAATCATCATGATCAATTTTGCTTCAACCCTACACTGAGATGAAAATGTAATCATTTAAATCCAAATTATCATTTGCAAACGCAAGAAATACAATTTTCTTATAGTCCGTAAGCCATTCCGATCTCTCTGATCTTATTCTACAATTAGCACTGGGTATGATATCATCTTTAATACCCCTGGATTCATGTCAAAAGTTTAATAATGAATAATTTAATGATCTAATAAAGTATGTGTGTATGAGATGCATTGATGGATTATAAAGAGCAAAGTAGCTTGTCTGTTATGATATCAGTTATGGTACTATACAACTATATATAACCATAATGAAAGTCATGGTTTTCAGGATCCTCACGTTCATTACCCTATAAATTTGAGGTTTAAATCATGTAAAAACTGAAAGTTCTATAGAAAGCTGTCAGGTGTACCTTATCTGAATTTGACAAATCACCTCCTTACAAACATACCAAATATCATTAAAAAATGCAACCACAGATTCTCAAGTTATGCTGTCCACATGCATACCAACATATAAACCAATTTATTTATTGGTTTGGCTGTTCAATCCTCACAGCCAGGGCAGCCCAACTAGCCACAAAGGGGTAACGCCCTGCTGACAAGACAAAACATTACAGCAACATATAAGGTGGCTTAACAATCTACAAAAGTATTACTATTAACTGTACTACTAACATTATTGTATGTAAAAAAAAACAATGGCACTAAAAACATAACATTCATGGTAAAGGCAATTCACCAAGCCAAACTCATGAAGTTCTCAGAAAAGCCAATAAAGTTTGTACTTGAACTAGCAACAAGACCCTCACCGTGTGCCCTACCTCCTCATGCATATTCACAGCACGTTTGCCTTTGATTTGGGCAGGCTGAAAGGATTTTAGACTCGGCTGTCTTCTCGTTAGCCGTGATTTCTAACAAAGCCCTTTATTGAAGACAG